CAAAACAATCGAAAGATCGATTCAAAAGTGGTCTGGAAAACCGCTCAAGGCTTTTAAGTCGAAAAACTCAATACATAGTTTAAGTTTACATTAGAAACTCTCAACCATTTCGCCTGAACTTCGAATTGGTTGAAATTTGTTGGAAATATGTGCGTAGTCAAATTTCTTCCAAACAATTGAACTCAGTTTTGCCGCTTGAATGTGCTGCCGATTACATGTTATATCGCAACAGTAAAAAAAATCGTGCATCATTGAAGTTTTATTAAATTCGTATGTTTCAAAGTGCATAAGAAACAATTTGGTTTGAATGTTTTGACTTTTAACATGTAAACTGATGCGTTGGTTTGTTGCATTTTAAAAGCACAAACAAAGTCACCCGCGTATTTACAACGTTCGCATGAAATTGTCTGCAATGGGTGTGGCAAAGGAGTTATAATACCAAACAACATGTTTTAATTTAATTGAATACACTGTCGACGAATCTTGACGAAAAACATGGATTGCATGTTTATTTTTCGGATAAATTTGCATTTGCGTTGCATACTCGTGAAATCATGCTTCGTCAACAGTTTTCAATTCCAAGAAGCATGCGAAAAATTGTAGTTTCAACAGAATATAAACAAAGTTTCATGCGATTCACATTTATCAGCGCTATATTTTGCATCATTCCGACGTTAATTTGTGAAGCATTAAATGTTGAATATTTCACTATTTTGGAAGGCAGCGCCTTTGATGAACCGGATTTCTTCCTCTTCCTCTTCTTCTTCTTCTTTTTGGCATTTTTTGCCAGCCCTCTAATGAAGGAGTGTGAAAATAAATTACAATGTAAATAATTTGCGCGAATGGAATGAAGTGAAGTGTAGTGGTTTATTATACGGCAAAGCGAAACGACAAACTAGCTGACGTTTGTTTTCCAATTCAGCATCTAATGAGATCTCGCTGATTTCGTACACTGTTTACATTCGTTTTCCGTGTGCAAAGTAATTTGAGCAAATATTTGTACGAAAATCATCAGTTTATTCGATCCATAGTTTGCTAAGAAAACGGAGCTCTTTTTTTATATTTCGTGCTTTTTTCTTTCTCCGCATTCAACACTTAAGGAAACGAAGAAAAAAAACACCATCGTTTCGTACAACGAAAACCGGAACTGAATGTACGCAATTAGGTAAAATTGGTGACTAAAGCATTTCATTTCCGATGTTTGAAAGAGCAATTTAATGGGTAAATTCATCCACAAATGAGGCTAAATCTTCAAATAACCACATATGGCAGCAGTGAGTCATGCTCATTTGATATTATCTGCATGTTTTACTGTATTATTCACATCAATCAGTGAATGCTCTCTGCAATGTTCGTTTGAAATGCTACACCTCAAATCTGACGGCACATTTTGCGATTTAAATCACATTTACATGATGTCGTTATAAAGCATTCAAATCAAATAGATATGAATTAAGATTATCCGAATAACTACTTCTGTCATTTGATATATACCTATATGCTGGCATACAGATTCATTTCAATCCTTTTATTCGCCACACCGATATCATTGTGGCAAGATACTGTGAGCTAAATAAAGAAACTTTCAAATCTCCAGGGAACGAGTATGTTAGTGATGCAACGCCTCTTTCGCTCGTCATCATCGTCGTTCACAAAATGAGCATAACATCCATAGCATCATTAAATTGTATTGCATTGTAAATAAACAGCGAAACATATCGTCAAGCAATACATTGAATGGATAGCTTGCATCGATGCTACACACATTCCACCATTCTTAGATTAGAGTAAATATTTATTGCATTTAATGCACTTTATAGAAAAGATGTGAAGAAAAAGAAAACTATTTCGACGACAGAAAAATCTATCCGGCTTAGCTGCAATGGCAGCTATTATCAACTTTGCTTGCACGATGGCGAGGTAAAGATATACAGGTGCCGTTGTTAACTGTTGTTATTGTACGCTATGCAATGTGCAACTGAACTACATATTTTCCATTAAGAATGTGCTCCATGTGGAATTTTAAGTACCATTTTCACTTTATGGCATTTGATAAAATTGAATTAAAAATCGTTTAGTGCTTGGAAATGTGTCGGAATGTGTTCAAAGTATGGAATGTACATGTGTACATGTTCCACAGAATTGGATGAGTGTGCATCAAATGATTCGAATTCACTTTGGTACGGTAAAATGTTGATGCGAAACTATCGCATTTTGTCATGAATGAACATTTTGAATGTGAACACTAAAACTGTATTTTACGATTGTTGTTAATGCACCAGAATATTTTAATCTGAATATACATGCTTTGAAATTTACTGAATCAAGTCGTTTTATGATATGTGTGCACCACTGGAATTACTGACTCTAAAACAAAATATATATTCAGCTTTTTTCTCGGTTTCAATTGAGACCCAGATAGAGATAGAATAGTTAACTTGAGCAAGTAATATTCAAGAAGAATCTAATTCAATCGGAATCCATTTGACCGAAAATAAATGTTGATGTTCTGTTTGTTTTCGACTGAAGTGAAATTTTAAAACGGTTTGTCTGCAAGATGGTTGAAATTCGAATCACACAAACTGCATTAAATTGCCAACAATATATCATTCGTCGTCATCATCGATTTAGTATCGATTCAAATGCTGTATCGTTATACACGTGTAGGGAAACGAAAATCGCGTGCAAGTGAGGGGGTTTAAAGAGAAAAAAGTGTGCATTTAAAGCGAAATTCGAGCGTACAGCATGAGCAGCAACTCGTTTGCGGTTCAAAAATGAATGTTCACATTTGTCATTGGTGGCGTTCATTTTTTATTCAATTTCCATTGGATCAGATCGAAAATGCAAATACGGAAATTGAAAAATCTGAATTTTTTCTTATAAAAGTGAAGAAATTCGCGTTCGACAACCAAATTGAATGTACAGCATTACCATACATATGCGTTTTGCAATGATCTTATCAGTTATTATTGAAAATCGTTTGCATATATTCTTCATTTGTCTCTGATGGTGATTCCAGTCTTGCAACTATCACAATGGCATAATGGCAATGCACTCAATATATGCAAATGTCATATAGTTGGAGTAATAATCTTTATTATCCTTCATATAAAACTGGAATGTGTCATCAATTTTCTGGGATTTACATCGTTGAAATAATAGCAACGACCATATCAATACCATTCGAAACCATATTTATTTAAATCCGATTGAATGAAGTAAGAATAATCATTGATTTTTCCCAGTCGACTTAAAAGAATATATCAAGAACTTTGTGTGAATCATCATTCAAGATCAATATGAGCTTATGAATTTACCTGGAATGGTAACAGAATTGAAGAAATACGAAAATGGCTGACATTTTATTTAATGTGTATTCCCAGTTGTTTTTCGTTACGTATTGCCACTTCTGTTGCTTCTGCCAATGTAACATAATAAGAAAATCAATCAAGCCTGATTACATAGGCAGTACTGTATGAATAGGATTCATGCGAAACTGGAATATCTAGTGCGAGATTTGAATTAAAATGATTTCAATGCCATCATTTTCGTCGGCTTGGTTTTTTTCATTATTTATTTATGTTCCGATCCAATCACAAGTTCTATCTGAAATTGGTTCATCCATTTGTTGATTTTCATGAGCGAATTTCATTCATATTTGAAGAGTGTTTGCACCTCAAAACAAAATACACTTTCCAACATTTTCGATGTGCTGAAATCGTAATAAATTCAGACAATATGTAGAAAACACAAAAAAAATGCTCCGCCATTACTTTGGCTACTTTGCGATGTTTTCGTGTGCTGCAAATGAATTTTTCATTGAAATGCGACGTGTATTGATGACAAGCTGTTTGTTTAATCAAAACTATCTGTTGATCCCCATGGCTAGCCTTGACTCCTTACTAATTCAATGAAAAATAATATCATTACGGGTGCCATTTGTTTTTGTTTCGTGATTCAGAGACGGTTTTATTAAATATCAACGATTTGTCAATGTCACACGAAGCACCATTTTCGCATTTGTTTAGTCAATTCCGTCCATTCGACTAAAAACGGCCGTGATTTTTGATTTTGGAACCAAGTGCACACATTTCATTTCTCGACAATTTGCCAAAAAAATGTCAACTCATTTATATTTGATATAGCTTCATTTTTAAATGGAAAATATCGCTTATACTTCAAAATTAAAAATTGACGGTAAGAAAAGTTGAAATAGCCGATATTTTGCTGTTATTAATAGTTGCTGTTCACTAGCAGCTGGATGCGATTACAATACAGCAAACCAGTGTGATGAATGACGAATCGTGATTTCCGAAAAACTTTTCGATGTGAATCGACAATTTGATTATATTGCCAACAAACGACAGCCAACTTTGCATGATTTTGAGTCAACTGGGAAATCAACTGAATGTCGTTGTTACATTATAAACATAGCAGATTATTATTATAAAACTCATTGTCGACGAATAGATGTGTATCGATTGTATATCTGCATCATTGACAAGGAACTTTTCAATCTAATTATCTATTGACGGATTTATTCATTTAGATGGAGATTGAAATACAAAACGAGAAGAATGTGAATGTTCTGGAGAAACATTGGCATAAACTAATGTATGACTTAATGGCATTAAGACTAATCTAAAGTGAGAAATGTCATCAATTACACAATGTCATAATGTATATTGTAAAAGATGTTGCTGTCAATCCAATTACCTTTAATTATTATTCTCATCCATATTCGTTCAATGTTAATTGCATTAATATAACATTGTTATTTGTTCGTATGGCACGGTACATGGACACAAAATTGACCTGATTTTTTTTTTTAACTAACAAACATCTATTTTCAATTCGAAAATACACTTTAAAATCTATGCGGATGCCGATGTGGTTTGCACATCAATTTTAATTATTCCAAGCACAAAATTTATGTTAATATTTTTTCTTTAGAAAAAGAAGAATATGATTTTAATGATTCTTGTTGTTCAATATTTCAGGGGTGGATCTCGCCTAAGATGGGGAGCACGCTGCTTATTGCTATGTTCATAGCATTACAATTTGCAACTGGCATGGCAAATCCGGAAGCAAAACGTCTTTACGACGATTTACTAAGCAATTACAATCGTTTGATTCGACCCGTTGGCAACAATTCGGATCGATTAACAGTAAAATTGGGACTGAGGCTGTCACAATTAATTGATGTCGTAAGTACAAACAAACAAACATTATCAATTCAACTTTATCTTGCATGTTAACATTTGAAAATTCGTGTTTTTATTCAGTTTAAATAGCTCGTTCGTTTATTGTTGTAATGTTTTCACATTTTATTTTCGTCTTTTTTTTCGGTAATGTCAAGATTAAAAACTTTTTGCTTGAAAAAAACTTGATCGTCATCCGGATAAATGTTAGAGAGACAGACGAATTCAACTTTTCTATTTTAAAATAGCAAGATGTATCCAAAAGAAAGTCAATTTGGTTTAAGTAATATCGTTGCTGAAGGCAATCAAAATCGTATGAAAAACACGATTATCCGCTTTAGCTTTCGTTTCATGAATAAACAACATTTTCTACCAAACATTTCAAAACGCATCATTTATCTTCGACAAACAGTTTTGTTTTTCTGTTTCATTTCGGATTTATAATTGTTTAAATACATCCCCAAGCGGGATAGGTGTATAAGCAATTCTATAAAATCTTATGTTGTATACTTTACAACATAACATTTGAATTGCGTTACATCATCGATTAAAGAGAATGTGAAAGCGCGCTAGACGCTCAATGTGCACAACTTAATTAGTGTTACCGTTTATCAAAATATCTTATCGTCGTATACATCATAACTTAATGGCAACTTTGCTGAAAGTTAGTCGCGCTTATGTTATTATATTGCCATGTTGAAGTTGCCATTCATTATTACATTTAACCAGTTCGGCATAAAATTCAATTCGTTCACGGTGCATAGCGTTGTCTCGTTGTGGTTATTCCAATTTAATGAGTTATAACAACGAAATTGCCAATCATGCGATTTTCTCATTTTCTATACCAACAAACAGTCGACATGGTAACCGACTTCTTCTTCGAATACACGATTCGATTATATATGCTGTATGTTCCATAATTACCAATATTAGTATGGACGTTACATGAGATTTATAAATTTAATTTATTACAATACACATCATCAATCTGACTTGTGAATTAAGAAATTGCGTTGTAGTCGATCATTTAATTTCGATATTCGAATGTTTGCATCAGTGTCTTAGCGCTGCCGGTAAGTAATTTTTAAGCAAAAGTGTCCCGTATGAAAATGCAATTATTGCGAATCAGAATCTCAGCTAATCAGAATCGACCTTTTTTAAACAAAAATGTGTGTCCAGTTGTCTAAAATCACTTTATCACCACTTATATCAATAGAAAGTGACCTTTTATCATATTTTGTCGCTTTTTTCGGAGAACTGATTTATTTTTAAGTAGCCAGACGGTCACGTTTTTGCACGAGGATCTAAATGAAATCGATATTGTTGATTCGGCATAAATATCAGATATCAATTTATTCAAAACTCCAAATGGATCTATTCAACGTAATTTTCTGTTTTTAAAAACGTCTACGATTTCATTGTTAATTCACAGAGCACATAACCATTTTTTCTAATCAAATTAATGAAAATTTTGTGAATTGCTGGCAAAATTGGTATAATACACACCATTGGACTGCTTTTAAAACATTGAATGTCCCATCCAAAGCAAACAAATTATTTTATTTCTTCGTCATTTGATTAAGCTATGCTTTTTTTCCATCGGCACGTGTAAATAGCTCCGGGAAACCATTTCAATTCTCATTGGCGTAGTGAAATGCAGTAGCAAATTAACGCCGAATGAAACAGTAAAATCAACAAAATATGCAGATCACACACAATCAAGGACAAAGCGAACAAAAAATCGTCTGAATACAGAGAAAACAGCCCCAAGTCAAATGGCGGCAATGGTTTCTCACTCAATCACATGAAGCACATAAATAGTCGTGCACACTTGCACAGTATGTTGCATATGTTTTAGAAACTCTACATGGATATACCGAGAGTCTATGTCTAATGGATCAGAATGCGAAAAGCTTTTCTCTCTCTCTCTCTATGTTGTTTTTAAAATGTATTTCCGATTGTTTTCATTTCGGAGCACGGTAAATTTCATGTAAATACATTGGCTTCTGTCTGGCCACATTACACAATTGTGAATTTACAAAATAGCAACGAGTCACGTTGTTTTTACACGGTGCTTTTGAAATTCGTACCAATGAAAACCGACAATGAAAACCGAACGAAATTCTTTTGAAAATGAAAAAGAAACTCTTTTTTCGCACTGATTTTATAAAACGCATTTTTTATTGTGAAAAAGCATCTTTCCTAGCTAACTGACTGTCACATTTCTACTTCAAAACGATTCATGCAAAAGTATTAAATAAAAATCTAGTCACGTTATATTGTGACCTCAAGCGTCATATTTTTTTTTATCTCGTCACAAACACAAATTAAAATGAAATTGACAAAAAAAGAACAACAACAGCAACTAGGTGAAATAGGTACGATAAAAGGCAGACAAAACGGCATTGACATGCAAATTGGCTTCAGGGGACTACGGTAATTTAAAAAAAGAAGAAAGTGTGGATGTGTGTGCCCGCAAAAGTTTCATGTGCATATTCTCAAAGTTCAGTTCTTTTATGTTTCACATTCTCTCTTTGGCAAAAAAAAAATTCTTTCAATTGGCTTTGAAGTATGCAGCACTTAATGAGTCTTATCTAGCAACCGTTGTCGTTGTCAACCGCCACTGTTATCATCATCACCAACAAAAAATAAAATTGTTAATGTAAATGTAAATTTGTAATTATTTGAATGGAAAAAAAGTGGTGTGCTTTTGTGGAAAAAGCGCATACATTTACATACATTTGCATAGATTGTCACTGTTGCTGTGAGCGAAAATATTTTTCTCTTTAGTGATAATTATTCTGTTAGTTTTATGGCCAAGGATTTATGCTGTGTGGATTTTATCATGTCGTTGTCCTACATCAAAGAGGGTGCAAATCTTCCTTCTCGTCCATCAGTATGCAGTGCGCTGGCAAAAGAATGCACACATGTCTGCGTGCAGATTGTAATTACATGTCAAAAACTCACTTGATGAAGAAGTTCAAGTGTCAGATTCATTTTTATGCTTCATAACATACAACCTATTGAGCTACTGCCATGGATTTTATCCATCGATGCCATAACAGATAAATGAATATGTTGCATGTATGATATAAACAATACCAGCGACACCGCAAGTCTAATAAATTAATCGATTTTCCAAAAGTTTTTTTTTTTTGAAATTATAAATGATAGATTTTGATTGCGTTACATCACGTAAAATTCGTCAACAATGAATTTTAAATCATTTCCCGCCCCCTTGTTATACTTGGCACGAGTCCTTTGAAATTGACATTTAAATAGAAATCAAATCACATTTCCGTATTTTTTACCCAAATCACATTTCCGTATCTAAATAATCGTATCAAGGTGACAAGCATATTTAATGGAGGCATGATTTTGATGAAAACAAAAAAAACTGATAACAGGTGTTTGATTGTTTTCCCAACGGTATGCATTGCAGAACTTTTCGAATTACAATACACATGACATCGATGATGATTTACATTGTTCTCGACATTTGAATGGACAAATTCCAATTGTGCCGTTGTTTTACTCTCGAAATGCACCTTTGAAATGTATGATGCAATATTGGAAAGTTTTGACAGTGAAAATTGATTGATTACTTCAATAAAATGTTTTTAATTAATCTGTCATGAATCATGATCAGAGCAAAAAACCGAAATGTGTCAAACAGAGAATTGTGCCAATCGAACTTGGATCGAGTGCATTTAACAAATTTCGATTGTGCAGCAACAAAGAATATTAACGTTTTGGTGACGAAAAAGACAAAATTAATTGTAGTTTAATTGAATGTTACCAAAGACTGTTAATTAAAATTTTGCATTCTGGATAAAGGAAAATCAGTGATACTGCAAGTGGCTAACAAAAATTAAAATAAATGTCGCACACACCACTTTGTATTCAAACATTGAAATCACATTCAGTGGATAGATTGTGCACGTAATTGAAACCATCATTCAAACGCAATGAATCTCAGCACTCGAACGCGTTAACACACCAGCTAATTTCTATTATTAGAATAATTTTCCATTTTCATCTTATTTTTCGAAACACTTGAAAGCATTTTAATGCAACGTTCGTAAAAACTTCCAGGCGTGACAACAGATACAGATAGAGAGAGAGAGAGAGAGAGAGAGAGAGAGAGAACAAAGCCAAAACGAAAATTTATGAAAATGAAATAAATTAGATGTAATTTATCAATGACAACTGGGAGTAAAATAAACGATATGAAAAAGCTCTTGGACAAACGAGTGAGAGAGAGAAAAAGATAGACTGTGTGTCTTACGTGAGATGCAGACACAATTCGAATGAAGCGAACATGTCGTTAAACAAATGTAAATTTGTATGTTGTCGTTCTAAAACAAATGAGCATTTTCCCGCTCGCTTTTTTATTCATCGTTTTGCTTTTGACTAATTGAATTATATGCATTTGAAGTCATTTCCAGTCGGAGCTATAGCACTTTTTCCATTCGAATGGAAAAAGAACACCATTAAAATGTATTCCAGCACTTGCCATTGGCATTGGAATTGAAAATGCGATAAGAAGATTTGCAGTGAACAAATTAACATTTCACTCGTGTTTTTTTCGGCCTTGCACTTTTTGTTTGTGTTATGCTATTTTCTTGTCTAATAAAAAAAGTTACAACGTTTTTTACTATGGCCCATTTTATTTTGCTTTTTGCATGAAATTCTTTAAAACAAAAAGTAACTTTTTCCGGATTTTTTTTGTTTTGTTGAAAAATAAACTTATCTAAATGAAATTGAATGCGTTTTTATCGAATTGGCCGAGCATCAATATTAATATTAATCTAATTTCATATTTTTCTTTGCAGAATTTGAGAAACCAAATTATGACGACAAATGTGTGGGTGGAACAGGTAAGTTCGAAAAGTGACATCGAAAATACTTAGATAACACCATATCTCTTTGATTGCCACATTTTACACCTGCTGTTTTAGACCACCTAGGCTAAGCTACCATTTAACGCATACGGTGTTAGAATGTTTTCGAAAATTTAATGCGGAAATCATTTGTTGTGCGTCACATGCGATGAAGTGCGTGCATAGATACAGCTGGCTTTCAAAAATACATCATGACAAGCAAGCAAAGAAATCGAAATTATATTCGATCAAAATGTGAGAGAAGGAACGAAAATGAAATTAGCCCCTTAAAAGAAAAGAGAAAAATGTGTTTTCAATGAACATTTTCAATCTTTTTGAAATTCGTTGGGGGTACCGTATTTCGGTCGTACATTGAACGTAAAGATGAAATGTAAGTGAAAAGTGGCTGGAGGCTACGTGTAAAATGTATAATATGGATGTGAGAGTATTTCGATTTGGTCACGTCTCATTTCACAGTCAACTCAACCGACGACGACGATGAGACGAAAGCATAAACGCATTTCAAACATCACACATGCCGACAAAGCATTTTGCCAGTAATTTCGAATGGATTCGACTACATGCGTGCAATCTCTAAATGTATCAAGCGATATGTTTCAGACATGAACTGCTTTTTTCCTGCCACCGGTTAGTTTATGAACCATTAAATGGCATCCATAATATCAATTAAAGTATTTATGTGCACGCAAAACATATCGTCTCCATAAAATGGCGCGTCGTTTTTCTTCCATATATATACACCGTCTTTTATTTCTTCACAGCTCATTGACCGCATCACCATTGTGTTCATTGAAAAACAATTGCACAAATTAATGAAGCTACCTCGTTTGCCACTTTTTAACAGCATTTCATGTCACATGTCAAGCGAAGAAACATTTCTCACACACATTCATTTTGTGTCCATTTGAAATACATTCAATTACACATTTTTGAGGCACGTCGTCGAATGATTTGAGTGCTGAAAAAGGTGGTTTCTTCTTTTTTTACCTGCATTTTCTTAATGAAACTTACAAAATCACGTATACAACCATTAACCATTACAAAATCGACACGAAACCAATAACTTTTCGTTTAAATTTGGATACAAATTGAAAATTTACAAAAGCTATGCATCTCACTTTGATGGCATCTCACCAATTTAAACAACCATTTTCTGTGGTACTGTAAACAACGTCAGAGAAGAAGAAAAAACCTACAAACTTTTTTCAACATGTGTACGATGCAAACCATGTTCGCATTTTCATGAGACACGTACAAATAAATATTGCAAAAGTTTGCATGTCAGTTTAGCGTTCAGTCTTTTACAAGCATGCTTTTGAGATGCGTATATACCGCTTAAGGCGTTTCAACATTTTCGACACTGCTGCATTTTCATAATATCTTGTAACTGCAAGCAAATATTGAGCCGAAACTTTCCCATCGCTGATAGCGTTGTTGCTTTAGCACACGTACCGCATAGCTTTGGTTTAGTTTACCTTTTAACAAAATGTCGACTTTGTGTACTGTTCGAGAAACAAACACGCTTGCACAGAAACAAAAAACACACATCAACTTGAGTAATGACCGATTCGGTGTTGTAAAAAGCTAATGAACCAAAACTTTCGTCTCAAATACAGTATGTTTTACTAGTTTCGATAGGATCTAGTTTGGTATCTAAAACCATTTGATTTGTTTGATTATCGAAACACGCTCTAAAATGACTTTTTGATGCCGCATCAAAGTCATATATTTGAATAGCCATTCATTTGTGCCATTAGTTCATCCAAAAAATCTTAATCCCAAAGCAAGAGAGACCTCAAAAACCCAGAGTAAATGTTTTCAAAGTATTCTTTATCGATGTAGCAAAAATATAGCTTGGTTTAACATGAATGAATTAGTCTCGGAGCTTTTGTACTTTTTTTCAACATTATATATTAGTTTCGACTGCCAACGATTCGCATGATAAAAAAAAACTTTTTTTACAAAGCACCGTTGCTTATATAGTGATATAATCAAATGAAATCAAAATAAATTTCAGTCCGAAAATAGTTTTTTCCTTCCGTCGTTAAGTCAAAACCATAGCATGCGTCACCATTTCTATAGCCCAAAAATTATAGTCAATATCGTACGTCTACCGTTCACTTTGCATACTCAGATGAACAGATAATGAAAATTACCTGAATGAAGCATTTAACCAAACGCATAGAACATACTCGATTTTGTCGTTTTGCCAACCCACAGGCACAATTGTCTGTTTCAACGCAACACCAATCATTACCATTATTATCACAGCATTGCACGCATAAGCGATAAAATGTAATTTTTAAGAGTAAAAACCTCCGATACTTCCTCTTTTTGTAGTCATTTAAAATGCTCACTTGGCTAAATTGCACAAAAAAAGGCAAACACTCACTTACACAGTTGGTTGGTTTATGGTGTTCTTTAACCTTTCAAAGTTGGAGACAAAATTCAAACTCACTTACTACAATTTGGTGTGTTTGTTTAAATGTGTCGTTATATTCAGCTGGATTTAAGCTCGCATACACACGATGATTGTCTAAATAAATCAAAATTCCGTAAGCAGCAAGTAGGTGAACCAGATAGCCCGTACTCAAGTGGCGGTGATCAGGCAAATTGTCTATCAAGTGTTTTTAAGGTGCCAATGACTAAATGTAATGACACATTTCCGCAGTGTCAGTTAAGCGGCAGGTAACATTTGGCCGAATCAGGCAAAATTTCTAATTTTGCCAAATGAGAAAATGAAATGAGTGAAACAACAAGAGATAAGTAGAGACAGAAAGCGACTATGTGAATTATATAGAATGGGACGAACGCAACGTTGTTTACACTTCATTTAACGATTAAAGGTATACGGTCGATCGATGAACTTGGATAATTGTTCAACTCTTTTGTATTTGAAATGACTTGAAACGGGTGCAATTGACATGTGGTATATTTGGTCGTACGCTCTTACTAATGCCAATGCTAATGGAATTCATTTTGGAAGACACCTCAACCAATCGCTTGCTGAATTAATTGAGTGAATTGGTAAATTGGAAATGGAATTGAAACGAATTTCTAGCACAGTTTTATGTGCTTTCAAGTCTGTGAAACTTGATATTCAATTTCTTATTAATGTTTATCGTATTATTCAGGTCAATTAATATTATATTTTTTGAAGTCAATGAAGCGAATTTGGCTCGTTCGATGAAAGTGATTTGCAAACAAAATCTTTGGCGATTAAAGACAATATATCGGTCTGTTGATGCTGTCTGATAGCATGGCCAACTGTTGGCCGCCAACATTCTGGCTGTCTATTAAGTAGGTTGAATCAGCAAATATGCTGCATTCTCAAAATTCATCAAATTGTCTTTTCCATTGTTTGGTCTCACCATTTTGACCTTATTCGTTATTATGGGCTTTGTCTTCTCTTGATTCTCGTTAAAACGATTATTTCCATTTACCCTTTAATATCATAATATTAACTGGTCTGTGATTTCGTGATTGTTACATGCGCCCGAATAAAAATAGATAGGCAGAGAAAAAAACCGAATATTCCATTCAACTTGTGGGTGGCGAATGGAAAAAAAAAATTAACAACGAGACATGGAATCGTCGTTTTTATCTTCTTTGCGACCGAAACCCTTGCGTGAAATTTTGTTTTCAAAATTCATTTATTGTGCACGCATTGAATTTCATTAAACCTTTATCACAACTTTACTGTGAAAAGATAACGATATGATGTCCAATCGACAGCATCAGAAGAAGGAGAAGCAAAAAAAAAACAAGAGAAAAAACAGAAAAAGATGTTTCGCTTGAGAGTGGTATTGTCTCGTTTGTTTATGGGTTGTGCTTAAATTGCGAAGAATAATAGAAACGAAATTCACCAACTTCGGAACTTTTTTATAAGGTCTTTCAAAGTTCATTTTAGAATTGGATGATTTATTCTTTTTCACTAATTGCATCACAAGAGACCCCTTTCGTCAAACATCAATAAGATCCGAAAAGTTGTTCAACAAACTTTATATAAATGATCTACTCTGTTCGGATAACATGCCGCATAACTAATATAATAACTAACAATCCATCAAACATAATCGGACATTCAAACTTTTTGGTCGACGAAGAAGAAGACGAAAAAATGTTGCTGTCGAAAATCAATCTTTGCTAACGTAGACGCATGATCGAAGCACTTGAACCAAAAAGCCAAAAATATTGCGTTATAAATTAACCACTTTTATTTTATGACCGTAAAGAGATTTATGAATGACCGGCAAAACATTCATGTTCATGCACATTGCGCCATTTGTTTGGTGATGTCCAAGTTCAAAACCATTATATTAACAAATACCATAATAAATATTCACCATTAACTGAACCGATAAAATCGAATTCGGACCGCTTCTTTGTCCAACATGACAACAATTTGTGGCACACTGCAAACGATTCAGCGCAACCAAATACGGTTCGTGTATCATATGTGGTCAGTGCCTGGACACACACAAACGCATACATAACACGTACACATACATGAAGCAACGCAATTATGAGATTACGAACCTACTACAGATAATCTTTGGGCAATGCAATTGTTTGCGCTTTCGGAATGCATGTGACGTACAAATAAATGTGATAAGAGTCGTTAAAATAAGATTCAACCGAAAATTGTTAAATATACGAGCAATGTGATCTATTCAGCATTCCATACCAAACCAAAACCATAACAGATATATGAAGAATTTAAGCTAAATATATGGAAGCAGCAAAGAAATCACTCAGCATGTGTGAAATGACAATTGCCAAGAAATGTATACCAAATATCTAACCTATATATATGTTATACTTCATTCGCATTCAAACTGGACAAACGCATTACCCACAATAAATGTTCTATGAAATGGCTCAGACTCGATCCGAATGTCTTGGAAGAAAAAAATTGAAATAAATTCCATTTTTATCCTATTGTGAACCAAAATTTACTGTCGTACAGATTGTTT